AAATATGGCAACAGTTTGTGACGTTTCATCATTGCTGGCACGTAGTGCGGCGTTTTGAGAATGAAGTAAACCAATCAAAACTTGAGTTGCGCATACAATGATCTATTTATAGCCATTTATTTCTTGCTACCTCCTTAAGATGTCGGAATATGGTGCGTTTACTTTACCCTATACATGTTTGTAAAGCACTAGAATTAGAATTTTCTTACTTATAACATAAAATTTGCAGCCTGCAGGTCCTAAATTGATAAATTCAAGATACATTCAGATTCTCATGGCCTGATCATGTATATTTATCAACAATTAGATAGGAGGTACTTCCATTAGCTTTAGCATAAATCTTGTTGTTCCAAAAAATGGCAGGAAAGCTCTAGTTGTGGCACTGGCATGTAAGATAGAAATTTCCAGGCCTACATTGGCATTTGGCACCAACTGGAAAATTGGGCAGAAGCCAGGGACCTTGCCTTAAGACAAAAACTTCCATACTTGCTAACTATGTGAATTTGGATAATTGGGCAATGGGCAGCAGTTTCCTAATGTTAGAGGGTAAAAACAGTCAGTCATTTCGCAGGTGATTATTGAAAATTGAAGGCATAAATTAGCCATTTTTTTTTCACTGAAGAAATTGGGAAAACGCCATAGAAATATTAATAGGTCAAATTAGTGGCTCAGCCAGATTTACTGGCATTTTTGTCCAATTCATGGGTGGCTTCTGCCAAATTTTCTAGTTATAACTTACTGAGTTAGACTTGCAAATAAATTTATTCATTTTAATTACCGTAAAATGGGGTTACTTTGACCGGTGGGGTAACTTTGACCACTTTTCGTTTTTTTAACAAAAACCCCCAAAACTCAAAAACAATTCGACATAGAAAAATTTTGTCAATGGACATCAAAGACCTAATACTGAGGCTACGTAACTCGTAACACAATATAAAGATTTAAAAAGTTTGCATGTCTAATAGGTTAAAAAATTAAAAATGTGACCCACAAAAAAGAGCTATTATTTAAAGCCTGTCGGAGTACCCCCTCCAATTTTTTTATTTTTTGGTAAAATATCTCCAGGTTTTGATGCATTGTAGTAGAACTCTTCTAGTTACATATGCAAAAGACAAATTTTAGAAAAGTGTCATAGTTTGCAAATGGGGGGTGCCGCCCCCCAATGGGGTAACTTTGACCACCTAATGGCAGCCGTGACGGGGTAACATAACTTAATTTCCAAACCGGTCAATTTTACCCCGTCACAGCTGCCATTAGATGGTCACATTTTGTCCATTTGGGGGCGGCGCCCCCCATTTGCAAACTATGACACTTTCCTAAAATTTGTCTTTTGCGTATGTAACTAGAAGATTTCTACTACAATCCACCACAACCTTGAGTTATTTGGAGTTATTTTACCAAAAAATAAAATTGATTTTACCCCCCAGTCAAAGAAACCCCAAGAGCTGGGCTGGGGTAACAAAGACCATCACTTTTTTTTTAAATTACTTCAAAACTACGAGAGGCAGGAGCCAGCAATTTATGGTGAGTAAAGCTAGAGTATAGACCTGTATTTTGCATGTTTCAATTTAAGTTTAACTTATCTAGTAAAAAAATGGCATCATTTTGAACACAAAAAGTGGTCAAAGTTACCCCATTTTATGGTACTAATGACTAATGAGTAAGGTCTTCTGCCAGTTTGCCAAATATCTTTTTCTGAAGATTAATGAAAATGACAAATTTTTGCTTGTAATTTGCAAAAAATGCTACTGAAATCATTGTACTTCTACGTTCTGGGTACCTTAAATTTTTTAGAACTTTGCCCAATATGAATATTTAACTAGGAAATATATTCTTGACAGATTTGGATTGGACCTGCCACCTGTAGGCTGGATCATCATCATGATTCATGCCCATGAGCCCCACACTCAGGAAGATGTATATAAACGGGGAAATTTCTCACGTAAATCAATCTAATTATATTTTTTTCGCGCAGACGTTCGTGCAAATCACGGTCATCGATTCCGCGCCGCGCAGCACTCGGCGCGGGCCGCGGAGCCGTCCGACACAGTTCTGATTTAGACACAGTTTTCATCTGAATGGAATGGCAACATTGTCTGTCGTATACTTGAAGTAACGCTGAACCAGCATTGCCAGATGGTATATTTCTATACCAGATTTCACAAATCTGGTATTTTCAAAAGGTGTCTGGTATGAATATTTTAGATCTGGTATATATGCCTAAATCTGGTATTTTTCTGGTATTTTCTGACTTACTGCAAATTTACTGCATTTAGTTCCACCTCTGAAGTTTGAACTTCCTCCAGCGTAGGCGTGGATTATATTATTATTTATATGAATTGCCTTCAGAGCGGCGCGATTAGAGCTTCTCAGCTTTCCCGCCATTTATGGAACCGCAAGTTTACCGCAAGTTTTCATGTCAACCGGAACTCGAACACCACAGCAGAGAGTATTTTATGCAGCTAATGAATTTCGCAACCTTTGCTGGAAGAGAGATTATTGAATTTTAGAAAAAAGGCGGGATAATTCAATGAAGGCTGGTGGCAGAGCTGCAATCTTGATACTCTATTGTGATTCATGCTATGATAACCTACGTAACAATTTTCATATGATAGTTATAATTTTTGCACATTCAAAGTACACATGACATAACGCACCCAGATTTGGAAACCATTATTGCTCAAATGAAGCAAAAATAAACGACAGACCGTTGACTTATCTTGCAAATATATATATTCATATTATGTATCACATAGCATAATTACGCTCTGTAATTATGCCATATTGACCTAATTTGTATAGTCCATTTACGTGCATTGTTATTAGGTATTGATCGTGTTGATTTTGCCGGCCGAGAGGATGTCGGTAATGTAAATGTAGTCACAACATTGGCATGCAGGATCGTACTGTTGACATACAGGTTCATACCCTACTGGCCGCAACCAGTCCAGTCATTCATTAGAAGGCACCGATGGCACATCTAAAGCCATGTTGCCTTCTTTAGTTCTGTAATTCATGTCCGATTGAATTGTGATCTATGAATGAATATTCATTACTGTGCTGACTCTTAGAACCTGAGTACTGAGTTGACGCGGTAGCAATCTAGTTAACTCGTATCCAACCACAACACAGTGCGGATACACGTTTGTGTGTACGGTAGGTATGTGCACAAAGTACGCTCGAACGTAAACAATGCTGGCAAAATGGCGGACAGCCACTTTCCGCATCGGCGCGCGTAAGGTATTTAATTTTGAAAGTCCCGCCAAAATGTTAGCTTAATTTGATTGACTTTTGTTTGGAAACAAACTAAAAAAACTTGAACTATGACGACATCATTTTTTTTTTCGAGAAATGTGTATCAAGTACCTGCTTAGCTGGGATGTGCAAGAGGTAACATTTGGGTGGGAAATAAACATGGATATCGTATTTTGAAATTGATGAAAGATAATTTGAAATCAAGATTATAGTTTTTCGAGCATGCTCTCAAAATTTCAGAGCTTTGCAGCCATTCGCACAGTTTTTCTACCATGTCCTGTCGCGCTGTTTACGTTCAGTTCAGTCATGAGCCAGTGAGGTACGCTGGTCCTGAACTACTGCCAAGACTGAGACATGAGACAAGACATGAGATGAGGCATGAGACAAGCTACGAGACGAGACATGAGATGAGATGCGAGATGAGACACGAGACAAGACATGAGATTGGACATGAGACGAGGAGATGAGACATGAGACGAGACGTGAGATTGGACATGATATGAGGCATGAGACGAGATGTGAGATGAGATGCAAGACGAGACATGAGACAAGGCATGAGACAAGGAGACAAGCATGAGACGAGACGTGAGACAAGAAATGAGATAGGACATGAGATGAGACACAAGACGAGGCATGAGACGAGACATGAGACGAGACAAGACACGAGACAAAATGAGACGGGGCACAAGACAAGATGAGACACGAGACGAGATGAGATGAGGCACGAGACGAGATGAGACGAGGCACGAGACGAGATGAGACGAGGCATGAGACAACCTGCAGTCAAAGTCTCAACCAAAATGTTTTATTCTAGTTAGAATAGATAGCCTACAACATGAGCTTTCCAATGGTACTAAAAACTTTGAAATTGGCTCATAGGAAACCTACAAATGATAGTTATTCCAAAAAAAAGTGACAGAAGTTGGTCCATTTTTGGGGTGAAATTGAAAATAGGAAAAAATTCATATCTTTTTCATTTGTCGACTTACTTCACTCATACTTATATGATATTTTTCTAAATTTTTTTCTCTTTTCAGTGGTGTAATTTTCATTACGATCAAAGGAAAAAATTTTTTTTGTGCACATACCTATCAGTACGGTCAGTGTGATTACGTAATTTGCATTGCTGCGCGTCCATATTTAAACTATTTTAGCTTTCTAAAAGTACGGCGCTGTCGGCGCACGGCGCACTTTTTTTACCGGCATAGTACGGCCGCACTACGGCGCACCGCGCAGCATAGTGGCAAAGCAGAGAGTTTTTTAGACTCTCCCTCAAGTTCATTTTTGAGTCCTATAAGTAGACAAGTAAAGCATAGTGGCAAAGCAGAGAGTTTTTTAGACTCTCCCTCAAGTTCATTTTTGAGTCCTAAATGTTGACCAGTAAAGTATCCTGGATACCAGCATTATCATACTTAAGAAATTGTTATAAATCTTGAGTAAATGAGGAAATTAAAAATGAACTGATTCTAAAAAAGCTCTGGTTTGCCACTATGCCGCGCAGGTCGTTAAAATGACAATATAAATTCCCGCGCACCTGGCACATCTTCCTGACCATGGCATGAGCCCATGCGTCCAGCCCCATGGTCATGGATGATGGGTGCTGACATCATGACAATGATACATCATAGGCACATGATAATGCCATGTGGCAAGTGCGACTGCCGACTGCGTGAGCTGTAATGCCAATACGGCCCAATACTCAATCTAAAAATAACAGGAAGAAAAAAGTTACAATTAAAACTCACCCAGAGGCCGCCATAACTAAAATATTTTAAAAACTTTAAAAACGAGAATAAAAGAAAGAAGCTGGATGACAAGCAGCCGAGATGTTGTCGCAACCCACAAACAACGCCAAATGAAAACATTTACTAAGCCAGCTGACAGAAACGTTGAAATATTAAGGTAGTGGGTGATTCTGCATTTAGCAAGCGTATCTGAGCCGAATAAAATAGTTTATCCGGTGCGCGTCTACGTTTATTGTCCATTTTTAAGAGAACCGAGCAAAAAAATTCCCTGAAGTGATTGAAAAGAGACAAATATTATGAATTGAGATATATTTCTAATAGCTATTGAATTTAAAGCGAACATGAATCTTATGACACATATGACCTCAAAGCTGAGCTCAATTTTCGTAAATCATTAACTGTATCTAAAACTGTAGGTGGGTCGAGAAGTACATCAGATAATTATCCTCATTAAAAATAAATTATCGTAATTTTTTAAAATCAATTTGAATTTTCTTTGTTTGCTAAGCCAGTTTACGTCACCATATGTATCGTTTCGGCGCCTGCCACAGATACGTTCTCCAATGCAAAGAAATGTGATACGCGGAAGTCCTACTTTCGTGACCTTCCACGCATCATTGCGCTTCTTGGTGATCTTGGAAGCTGGTCATTGTTTACTACTCGTACTGCGTGACATGCCAAACAGATCCGTGTCTGCGTGACCTGTTATTGTGGCACGAAACAAAACAACGGCTATTTACCATTAAGAATCAAAACGGAAAATACGCATTCACGCACGACGTTAAAGAAAAACAGGGATTCTTTTGCAAATGACGCTGAGCGAGTGCGCCGCACCCGCTCTTCCAGGACGTAGCAGCTACAAACACAGAACTCCCTTGCACAAGGCATAACTCGTGTTGACTTACATCGCAATCAATAATGTGACCTTCGTCTTTCGCTTGGCAGGCCATTACCGCAGTATTATATGCACCTACTCAATTATTAACTGAACTAAACTGAACGAAATTTCGCGCAATAAAAATCTAACCTATTGAACGTTCTCTGGTTGAACTCGAACGTCACTGATCTCCTGGACGGTCACCCACTGCATCAGTGACTTGCAACGCAAGATACGTATTGGAAAGGAAGAGAGAAAAAACAGAATTGGAGAGTGCCAATTCCGGAGCACAAATTGTACACGTGAAATTTTTTTTACCTCAAGTGCAACGTTAATTTTCGTACTTTTGCGGGGAAACATTAGTAAGCTGTTTAGCGACAATTCCTAACTGTTCTTTGCCCAGGTCTTGAACAATTTTTGTAGTCAGACAATAGCTCTCGTCAGACTCGGGGCATCAAGCTGCGTAAAAATAGTGACTCGGTGAAATTATTTTATAATCACCATTTACCAATCTCTATTTGCTAATCACCTTACGCCATTCACTATTTAAGACTTCAAAACTAAACGACCCATCGTCGCAACTGTTTGCATTTAAAATATCACCAAATATATTATTTTCAAATGTATCTAGTAGAGGAATCGGAAATAGAAATATTTGCCCTAAACACAAATAATGAAAGTTTTCGCTCATTTCGAGACGAATAAAAAATGGAAAGCTCGGAACAACAACAGGCAACCGAGCGTCGAGGTCACTTCTCTGAATCAGGATTTGAAGGGCGGTTTTTTTAACTACAGAGCCATCGACCGCAACTCCCACTAAGACCTTGAATAATGAAGGATAAGCTCGGTGCATTTTTTCTACAAATCACAATTTCAAAGTTTCGAACTTCCTCCTATTTTTAGTCAAACCTGCTAGAATACGCCAGTGTGTCAAGGGTGAGTCAGGAGAATGAGTCATGGCACCGATGGTGAGTCGGTGCAAAGTGGCATGGTAGCTCGGGTAAGCCGGTAGAATGAGTCGCGGTACCGTGGTGAGTCGGTGCAACGTGGCATGGTAGCTCGGGTAAGCCGGTAGAATGAGTCGTGGTACCCATGGTGAGTCGGTGCAAAGTGGCATGGTAGCTCGGGTTAGCCGGTTGAATGAGTCGTGGTACCGATGGTGAGCAGGTGCAAAGTGGCATGTTAGCTCGTGTTAGTCGGTAGAAATAGTCGTGGTACCCATGGTGAGCAGGTGCAAAGTGGCATGGTAGCTCGGGTTAGCCGGTTGAATGAGTCGTGGTGCCGATGGAGAGCAGGTGCAAAGTGGCATGGTAGCTCGTGTTAGTCGGAAGAAATAGTCGTGGTACCCATGGTGAGCAGGTGCAAAGTGGCATGGTAGCTCGGGTTAGCCGGTTGAATGAGTCGTGGTACCCATGGTGAGCAGGTGCAAAGTGGCATGGTAGCTCGGGTTAGCAGGTAGAATGAGGAATGCTTCCGATGGTGAGCCGGTGAGGTGCAAAGTGGCATGGTAGCTCGGGTTAGCCGGTTGAATGAGTCGTGGTACCCATGGTGAGCAGGTGCAAAGTGGCATGGTAGCTCGGGTTAGCAGGTAGAATGAGGAATGCTTCCGATGGTGAGCCGGTGAGGAATGGCATGGTAGCTCGGGTAAGCCGGTAGAATGAGTCATGGTGATACTAAGTATGAACTGATGGAAGGTGTGATGGCACCGAGGATTAGTTAGCATAATAGTTCATGTTACCAAGAGCAAGCCTGTAAAAGTTTTTACGACATAGAAAAAAATTAACTTGAAATCTCTCGTGATCCTCAAAGAGGTTGTAACCCAGGAAGGCCTTCACGTGCGACAGTTTGAAAACATAATACTTTATTGTGCCAATATTATCATATAAGTACCTATACTTTTGATACCTTAGTGTCAGACAATAAATGCGGACAATAATGACGGTTGTAACAGAACTACTTCCTAGCTACGCTAGACAATAAACTTACATATCGTACCAGTTGCTTAATGCGCGATATCATTCTTGCAGAAATTATTTCCAACTCCATAATGATTATAGGTGTTGAATAAGGAAATGATTTAATGGTACATGATATCATTGTTAAATAGCTATTACTATGTTCTGAAAAAAACATACTCCATGAATCTGTTAGACTGTTACTATGTAGAATGGCATCATTACAGTCCATCTAAGGACTAAGCACATAATAACAGTAACGACCAATCCGGGGGCAGGCAACTAATAAAAAACAATGTATTAAATATTGCTCTGTTAACATATTAAAAACACTATTAAATATTATATGCACTATTGCGCAACATGTGTACAGTTCGTCTCATCAGTTGCGCGCACTATTGTGCACCATGTGTATAGTTCGTCTCATCAGTTGCGCGCACTATTGTGCACCATGTGTATAGTTCGTCTCATCAGCTGCGCGGACTATATGCGCGCACTATTGTGCACCATGTGTACAGTTCGTCTCATCAGCTGCGCGCACTATTGTGCACCATATGTACAGTTCGTCTCATCAGTTGCGCGCACTATTGTGCAACATGTGATCACTGTCCGTGTACAATCCACAGATAATCAGTTTCGCCCGCTATTGTAGATCATATAACAGCCTATCTAATTTGTCGTATGCGCTATTACGGATCAGGTGTTTAATTTACTCAATAATTTGCATGTACCATTATACGTCGTGAGTTAATTTTACCAAGTCATTTGCACTCGCCATTGTGAGTTCAGAGCAAACTGCACCACAAGAATTTCCTGAGAACCTTGAGAACGTCTGGGTCCACCTAAAGCTGAGCAGGTTGACGGTTGTCAGTTTATCACTCGTCATCCACGTTTTCAGGTCAGTGTGCTTCTGGACGTTGCATTGGTGTGTGCACGTCGTTCTCGTGTGCTGGCTTCAGTAGAACACGTGTGTCTGGCCTTCGTTGAGAAGGAACCACTATTGTCATTGCGTGATACTGGCATTGAACTTTTCATTGGATTGTCTATTTGGTAACGTAGCATATAGCTGAAGTGTTAACATAGGTCATTGATACGTTATATTAGAAATTGTCTCTAAACTAGTAGGAGGTCCATTGATTTTGTTGGAGGGCTTTTCTTAGTTGGTGGAAGTGTACAAATTCCCTACTAGTAGACTATCCTCTTATTTTTGTAAATTTGATTACGAAAAGGCTTGACAATGCCCGTAAAAATTGCATGGTGTGAGAATCTGACATCTACGTCGTTTGGTCCAGGTTCAATGAATTCTAGATCTGAAATTTGACCCAGTCTGAGCATCAAGAAAATCAATATTCCTAGGTAGACATTTCGCTATTCAGTTCATTGTGATACCAATATTCCTCGTCTTCGTGGAGCAGGCGTCGCAGACCTCCTGTAATAATTTCAGATGGAATAATGCTATCGTGACTATCTGTGTTCAACAATCGAATAAAAAATTGCATTATAAAAGATATCTGCAGCCAGCTTCCAAGACAACGCTGTCTCTTTATCGTTCCTCCGTTTGTTGATGTACGTTTAACCATCGTAAGTATTCATCAGCTAAGGTAGAATTTTCAACGTGCTCACACTACGTATTGAACAACCGCAGATTATTTGAATTTGCATTACTTGGAAGATACTAAAGTTTCTTACCATTTCTTAGTGGCTTGACAAGATCGGGTGAAGAGCCAGTCTTGCCCTCGTGGCAGTTCGGATTTCTCTTGCCCAATTAGGAAAGGCTAGGTCTTGTACTCTTTGCAGGCCTGGCTCTTACTGACTACCGAGTATGCGTTCATGTAACGCTGACCTTCAATAGTCATTGCCGATGAGCCAATCACCGATGGCCATCTTAATAAGGGAAAAGCAACAAGCCGATAACAATTAGCAAATACCAATTAATCTTAACCAACCAGCCACTACTAATTAGCCAATGAAATCTTGTCGAACAACGCCACACCAGTGTCGGCTGCGCGCAGCTAAGGAAAGACGCTGCTGCTGGAAAGCAACTCCATTCAGTACTTATACTTAACCTAACCTCGCACGACCAGACGTGCCCATTATAACCTAACAGCATCTTCGTAATCACCCACAAACCTTGCATGTTCTTCTCACCCACGTCTATAACAAATGGCTTCACTTAATGAACTGCTCTGGATTTCGCGACAAATTTTGACTGTGCCGTCTTCCTAACATTGCTTTCTAAAGTTGTTAGATAATTTTATGATAAATATTTTATGACTGCTGTACTTTGAGTTCAATATATCGTGTTGAACCAATTGCGTCATTTGTGCCATTGTAACTTTCAAAGAACTTGTGCCTGGCATATCCTGGGTTCGTGATCTTGTAATCCAGCGACTGGTCTTTGCATCGTTACTGCAGACTCCTCATCTTAAAGTTGAGGTCACGACTTTAAGCTTCTCTCAATGATCTGCTATCTCTACCATCGTTAGTAAAGCTGATATGCATAGCGTAGGTCTGGTAATTTGTTTACTATTATTTTCGTTACTGAATCGATTCGTTTAGAGAACTGCGTACTTAGTTTAGCTCGGGTTAGTATATGTAAGCTAGGATCTACGTATCCGAATATGTACGTAGAACTACCTAACTTGTACCTTGTGGCTTGGAGATTGGTTCACCTTCTATCTACGTGGCTTAATCAGATGGGTTTGTGAAAGGCTTCTAAGCCTCGTGTAGATGCGATTATCATTCATGGAAAAGCGTATTGGTGCACACGAGCATTTATAGCACGATTCATGTAAGTGATGAAGCGCAAGGCCCTGCACCTTCACTCGGGCAGGCAAGAGTGAGGCGGAGGGTTGGGGGTAACACCGGTTTAGCAGGATGCTGATTTCAAGGTGTGACATCCTTCCCTGCCCCTCACTTTCTCTCTCGTGCCATAGCGGATGTTTGTTGATATTCCGGTCTGCTGATAAGGTTACGTCATTCTCTTAACGACTCGTGCGTTCATAAGCGCTGCACCTTGCGACCTGTTCGAGCCAAAAGTAACCTGTTGTAGCTTGCTGCCCTCGCATCCGAGCGTGCGACGATACCTGCTAGATTTTTTATCCGAACCACCGCGCGTTCTGTGGTTTGGCGTCACATTTAGTGAAGTGACCGCGCGTTCAATGGTTTGGCGTCACATTTAGTGAAGTGACCGCGCGTTCAATGGTTTGGCGTCACATTTAGTGAAGTGACCGCGCGTCCAGTGGATTGGAGTCACATTTAGTGAAGTGACCGCGCGTCCATTGGTTTGGCGTCGCATTTAATGAAGTGACCGCGCGTTCATTGGTTTGGCGTCGCTAGTGAAGTGACCGCGCGTTCAATGGTTTGGCGTCACATTTAGCGAAGTGACCGCGCGTCCAGTGGATTGGAGTCACATTTAGTGAAGTGACCGCGCGTCCATTGGTTTGGCGTCGCATTTAATGAAGTGACCGCGCGTACTCTCTCTCTTCCTCTCTCACTATCTCCCTCTCTCTCTTCCTCTCTCACTATCACCCTCTCTCTCTTCCTTTCTCACTACGTATCTCTCTCGTGGGCTGATTCACCACCCTCCCTGACCTTATATGGGCAAGCAGGCATGGCTGTGGGATGCTTCACCCCACCGTGACCTTATATGGGCAAGCAGGTATAGCTGTGGGATGCTTCACCCCCACCGTGACCTTATATGGGCACGCAGGCATAGCTGTGGGATGCTTCACCTCACCGTGACCTTATATGGGCAAGCAGGCATGGCTGTGGGATGCTTCACCCCACCGTGACCTTATATGGGCAAGCAGGTATGGCTGTGGGATGCTTCACCCCACCGTGACCTTATATGGGCAAGCAGGCATGGCTGTGGGATGCTTCACCCCACCGTGACCTTATATGGGCAATGGCTGTGGGATGCTTCACCCCACCGTGACCTTATATGGGCAAGCAGGCATGGCTGTGGGATGCTTCACCCCCACCGTGACCTTATATGGGCACGCAGGCATGGCTGTGGGATGCTTCACCCCCACCGTGACCTTATATGGGCAAGCAGGCATGGCTGTGGGATGCTTCACCCCACCGTGACCTTATATAAGCAAGCAGGCTCGGGTAAGGCTAGGAGAACGAACCCTTCAGTTCTGCCTCGGGATTTCCCATATCCAAAATTTTCCCACAGTTTCATAACTTAGAAAAACTGTGTGAAAATGCCGGTATCTTCGTAGAGCAGCGGGTGACCTGCTGCGTGATACCTAGAAATGGAAAGCAAACAGGCATATGACGTTGAAATAACGTTGGAAAAACGTCGTTTCAAGGAAATCAACTTGTAATCAAAGTAGATTCAACGAATTCCACTCGTAATCAATGTCGATTCTACGTGATTTGCCAGGAGGGTGCGCTGGTATGCCTGGAGGGTTAACGGAAACTATGGACCTTTGATTCTACTGACAATTTTCGCGATAAGTCTCTTCCTGCCTTGATTCAATAACCACATGGTTGTTACGGTACTAAAAGTTATAAGTTAGTTATAATTAACGAAACTCACTTGCCAAAACCTGTTCGTAATTTATATGCCTTGGCCCATTTTTGTAGAAATTCTGTTTCCGCGTCCAAATTTTGCGTCCTTGCAAATTTGTGGAAACAGAACTTCCACGTCCTTGCAAATTGTTTGCGGGGCCTGCAATTGTTGTTAAATAAGTTTTTAGTGCTTAAAATTACTGCGGATAATGCTTGTTTTTTACGTTAAATGCTTTGTCGTAAGTCTCACTCCACCACCGAAACCCTTGCAATAATGTGTAACATGACTAACATGCATCTGCCTTCATTTAAGCCAGCTGATGCCAGATGCTGTTGCTTGCTTCTTGTTATAGCAGCGGGGGAGAGTCGGACGATCAGGGATTGTGCTCGAGAACGTATCTAGTCGCCCCTTGAAGGTCTCAAGAGTGAACTCTCATTCCCTCTCGGCTCCATCGGCAAGGCATTGTACAATGAACAACCTCAGACCCGCCGCGAAAAGGGATCTTTCCCGAAGAGTCTGAACTCTGACCGCGGCTCGGTTTTCCGACTGGTTTTTGTGCACAGTCCCTCCCTACTCTAAACTGTGATGTCACTATAATGAAAAATAAATATATTTCGAAACCCTCTTCCTAAATTATAGTTATGAGCTTGGGCTTTTCTCTCCTTTCAATTATATGGTTAATTTGTGATATAAAAGAACTGATGACATAGATGAAATTTTGAAATCTAGCTTTCTAAGTTGGCAGCGGTACTTGAGAAGAAGCACGAGTTCTCTGGAAAGTTTAACCATCGACATCTCTTTGCTTGTTCAAAATGTCCACCATATATGCACCCCATCTGTCGCCTGCTTCTCGCTTGTGGTCATCAAATGTCATCAAATGTTGTCTCGGTACTCAAAACTCGAAATTCTTTTTCTAAATTTCGGTGTCGTCCGGTGCCAAGTTGTAGGTAGTGCTCCACCCCGATATCTGCACCAGTTCTGTATCTCGGTAGTGCAAATTTTGTTATTGGATTTAATATTTTTCACTTCAGTTCGTCTGTAATATTTGTCATGCGTCCGCAAGTGACTACAAAGAGGATAACAAGCACTGATCTCCTAACTCTTCTCCAATTTTTGCCCCGCTTTGCTCAATTTTGAATCTCCAATCTCAACAGCTTATCTCCTGTCGGACAGTTGGGTATCCACGTTAACAATCTTCCTCCTACTCTTAGCAGCCTTGGTTTCGAAATAGGGCGGGCCACGATGTCAATTTTTGTCAGTAGTTTTCGCTAAGTCAGTCATACCACATCTATGCTAGCTCCTTCCTTCATGGACTACAGCAGGCTATACAGTAACGGTGACAAGCGGGAGTGCTTTCTCTCGAAACCGTGTTTTCCATTTATCAAGTTAAGCCTCCTCCATATAATCAACATATCCCACGGGTACTACCTTCTCATAGACCTTGATTATCTTGACAAGGCTTGTTTCTCCTCGTAAATTGGCGTTGTCAGCCCCGCTTGAAGTGATTGAATGATTGTTTCCCAAAAAAGCTTTCCGGAGTATAGGAATTGAAGCCTTCCGAGCCTCGGCACTTTAATTCATCAGAACTGCAGGAATCTTATCAGATCACGGTTGCTGAAAATTTTTATATATCGGTCTTCTGATGCAAACTCTGTGTTCTCTAAACCCCTCGCTCACTCTTGAAAGCTCCTGAGATTTTCGACGTCTTTCTCGAGTATCTGACTTTGCTAAACAATATTCAAACGATCCTCTGCAGCTCATTCGTCCGACCTGTACGAGTTCAGCTAATTGCTTTAGATTTCCTTGTGGCGACAGACACTCTCCTAGCTCGCTGGAATGGACGGCCATTTGTTCGTTTTACTTGTGCGGACGTTTTCCCCTGAGGATTACCCGCTCTCTTTCAATACTTCGACCTTTAGAGTCTATTTTCGAGTATAACCAACTTGTTCCTGCAAAAGTTTCTCGCTTACTCAAGTATATATGTTTCAATTTTCTCTTCGTTGAATTCGGATCTCTAGTCGACTTCAGCGAGGTATCCCTGCCTCTCTAAGCTCGTGTCATG